GGGAAATGTTAGAGGCAGGGTTTGTCCCAGACGAGTATGTCTACACTTCTTGGATTGCTGAGCTCTGCAAGCAAGGAAACTTGGTGGAAGCATTCAGGCTGAAGAACAAGATGATTCAATCGGGTATTACTCCTGATTTGTTGACATATAGCTCGCTGATTTTTGGTTTAGCTGATAAAGGGTTCATGATTGAAGCAAAACAGGTATTTGATGATATGTTGAAAAGGGGAATCACTCCTGACTATGCTGTTTATGATATCTTGATTAGAGGCTATGCCAAGCAAGATAATGAAGTTGCCATTTTATGTTTGCATGATGAGATGAGAAAGAGAGGACTTCACACAAAAGTAAATATGGTGGAGGGAAGAAGGCAATTTATGGCAGACAGTGTATAGTGACTTACACACAATTAAGTCAGTTCCATGAGTAAGCAAGACCTTTTCTTGGTTTTCTTTTTCAGTGGTCCTATTTGAATTTAGCAGGAACGCTTACGCCCTATTTCTGATTAGTGGTCCATTTTGTTCATAGTACTGTTCCCCTCCAGGGAATTTTTGTTACGTTTGCTTGGTGCTGCAACTTTATGTGTATTTAATGCTTCCGCTGTCTCAAGGTTTATATGGTGCCTATCTGCTAGTGAATTCATATGGATTGTCATTCTTAGCACAAGTAACAGATTGGGGCTGTTTCTGAACTGTACATACAACTCAGGTGCAAAATAAATTCGGATTCTTGTTTATCACATTATAGCATAGGCACTACAAATCAGTTTTCTGATCTGTTTTTTATTTATTATTTTTTTTGACAGTGAATGCAAGGATGCAGAAATGTGTAGCACCTCTTGCTCAAATTTGCATGTCACTGCACTGCACATCAGCATATACAATTGTAAAACAATTGTAATTACTAGTGTTTATTTTTCAAATATCAACATTAGAAATTTGTCACAATATTAATCATACATATTAGACATACAGTAAAGCTGCTTGTTGATTATTTGTTTTGTATTTGCAGTGATTTCATGAGCTGAACAATGTGTAAAGGTGCTTGCTGGATGCATATTAGCAGATGTGTTTGGCAAGAATGTAGATTTTGACATCACCTCCACAAGCCCTTCTAGTGGAGCTGTCAAACCTTCTGTTTGTAAAACTTTTTTTTTTTTTTTTTTTTTTGCAAATTTATGTTAATTTTTTTTTCACTTTTTTGGATTCATCTAGTGTAGAAGAATTAAAAAAGTGATTTTTTTTTTTTTAAAAAAAAGATCTAAAAAAAGTTTATGAAAAAGAAAATAAATAAAAAAAACAATTTTTTAAGAATGTTACTATTAGCACCCCATCAATTATTTTGGACCACCTATTCCTTTGGACCCTCATTTATAACTTCTAAAACCCTTAAAATTTATTTCCTCCCCTCAAATAATACCAAAATTATTCTTGTGAAAACATTACACTTATTCAA